GTTTTTGAGGTGGCGACACCTGATTGTGGCCGTGCTCAGGAGGCAGATCTACCGACCGCGAAAACAGCGGAGCGCTCCCTGCTTGGCGGCCGCATCAGTGATCTGTGAGTCGGAGGACAAGGTGATGTGCCCCGCTCCACAGCGGCGAAACACATCAGGCGCAAATAAAAGACAGAAAACATTAAAGGAAATGAACCGACATGAACGATCGCGTGTCGGTACCTATGCTCTGACACAGCGCGTTGCCCCCCTGAGCGCAGGAGCTTGTCACCTGCTGACAGCAGGCTGCTGTCTTTTCCGAGGGCTGCATCTTGCCGGTCATTATCACGTGACAGCGACTAGTCGACGACAGGCATAAAAAGTCACTATAGTGAAGTCGACTAGTTCATACAACCCCTGCTACTGCTCTCCAGAGTGTTCTGCAGCATAATCAGCACGTTCTCTTTGAACTTGATAGTGTAATGACCTGCCTGGGGTTGTAAGCCAGGTGCATTCTGGGTATTGTGTTATATGTGTTTCCTATCGTTCTGCTGGTTCCTATGTGCTGATTTGCGTTTTGTGTGAGTGTTATGTAAGCCACAGGGAAGGTGATGTGTGTTCTGTGGAGTGGGTTGAATTAGCATGGTTAACTGACACCGTGACTCTGTGTGGTAGGAGCATGATAGAGGATCGTGTCTGTAGCGTTACAAAGCGTTGAAGCAAAAGAAAAAGCCTAATAAAGGTCTGTGAATGATCCCTGATGATGAAACTTTGGCTGAATAGCGCTTGTTCCCGTCTCCAATGTGGCGACACATCCAGGAGCCGTCTGAGGAGAATCCCAGAATCTCACATCGTCTTCAGCTAATAAAGCGCCTATGATTACGCACAAGCGTGACGCGTCAACCCAGTCTCACAGTAAGACCAGGTTGGACCTGTTCAGGTTTACGCAGACAATCTTTACATTTAGAATTGGCATACAGATGTAAAATTAATGCAGTAAAATATAAAGCATTTTATTTAAATATCCATTCATTATTTTACAAACACAGAGCCGCATCAGATGGATGGAAGAGCCGCATGCGGCTCCAGAGCCGCCGACCCCTGTGCTAGCCTACTTTATTGTTCCCAGCAATTTTTAAACCCCACTCAAGTGTATGGTTATTGTCCCCAGCAATTCTGGAAACAAACTGACGCCCTTGTTAAACTGCATTACTCCAGTCCCAACACTGATTAATTCATGCACTTAAACATTAATGTTCTGATTTTATTGAAAAACTTGTTCTGTAATAGTTACTATTGTGATCAAAAATATTTAATCTCAATTCTGAGGCAGCTCTGTAAATAGTTTTCAAGTAAACAATAGTTTATAAATAAACAACTTCTGATCAATCCATATCAATTTCAGATTCAAAATAATGTATTGATGTAAACCACACCCACTAATTTCCCAATAATAAATAAGGTGCATTCATCTGTGCATCTCCTTTGATCTGCATTAGTGATGTTTTCAGCACCAGAACAATGAAGCAAAGAAACAGATTCCTGAGTTTATGTTAGTAATTTTATTTATTAGGTGCATCTGATCTGTTCTATTTTTCTCTGAAATGAGATCAAATCAGTGCTTCTATTAGTTGTCTCCTCTCTGCACTAGAAAAATGTACTTTACTATAATATTACAACAATTTTTACACAAATTTTGAACATGTTTGTGGTCTGGAGGCTTTCAGTTTGACAAGCTCCACATTGTACACTGCCTGGCCAAAAAGGTCACCACCTGGATTGAACTGAGCAAAAGGCCTTATTCAAATATCCGTCTGTTAAAGCAGGCGCAGGTCATTGGCATCAAGCAGAGAGCAGGTAAAAGTGGCTTGCCCAAGGATGCAGAATAACTGAGTACGGTCTGGGATGGAGGAAACAAGTCCTGATTACTGGATGACCCCTCTTCTTCCCTCCAGAGCACCCATGCACCCATCATGCCTAGTGCCAGCTGTACACGCCTGTCGGGGCAGACGATGGCGTGGTGTTGATGCAGTGGGTCAGGTGTAAGTTCAGCAACAATATGAGCCCAAAGAATGAATCAGAATCAGAATCATTATAATAAAGTACATGTATGTTATTATAATTTATCCTCATGTAATTCCCTTTTCATCTAATTGAAATGAGCGCCGTTATGGCTGCTCTCGTGGTCTGCCTGTATCTGTTTTGTCTACATGTGTGTGTGTGTAACTTTGGCCAGGCTGTGCTGCGGAGTCAAGTTCCTATGCTTTGGGACACTGGAGCACTGACAATAAAGCTGATTCTGATTCACTGTAATGCATCTTGATGTTCTTAACAAATAAATTAAATCAAAGATTGGTCAATAATGCCAAATATGTAAATTTGTGTTTCAGTCATTTTTACACTGGCTTAAAAATACTTCATTAAGTCTACTAAGCAGGGGTGTAGAACGTGTTTAATAGGGCCAGCCCAGTAATGATCTTGGACCAAAATAAAGGGGGCAGAAAAATCAAATAAAGGGGGCAAAAGGAGATGTTTTTCCAGACGCCAAGAAAAATTAAATGCCAAACCCTCCCAAGTGTGTCACTGAGAGTTTAAAACAAAAAATATTCTTGTGCAAATATTGGTGTATTTACCTTTAATACTAGTTATTAAAATGTAGTAGTTGCTGGATTGGTGCAGTTCAAAGTGGAGTGCATCAAATAAAACAACATTAACATAAAGGTGAGACGTGTCATAATTCTCCCCACCACCACCACCACCACCACAGCTGGAAGAATTCCTAGGGGAAACACTGCATAAGGATGCCCATCGGTATGACTGGTACAAGGGCAGCCTAGGTTACAGGTTAGTTGTATCTTCTGACCTGAGACCGTATGTTTTGGACACTCGAGTAAAGAGAGGAGCGGAGCTGTTAACTGAGCACCACCTGGTGGTGATCTGGATCAGATGGCAGGGGAAGATTTTGTGCAGACTTGGTAGACCCAAACGTATTGTGAGGGTCTGCTGGGAACGCCTGACAGATGAACCTGTCCAGATGGTCTTCAACTCCAACCTGCGGCAGAGCTTTGACCACGTCCGGGGAGCAGTGAAGGACATTGAGTCTGAATGGGCCTTGTTCTGCTCTGCAATTATCGAGGCGGCTGTTGCTAGCTGTGGTCGCAAGGTGGTCAGTGCCAGTCGTGGCAGTAACCCTCGTACCCGCTGGTGGACACCAGAGGTTAAGGGAGCTGTAAAGCTGAAGGAGGTGGTCTACAGGGCGTGGCTGGTCTGTGGGTCTCCGGAGGCAGCAGACAGGTACTGGAGGACCAAGCGAAGTGCAGCAGTGGCAGTTGCCAAGGCAAAATCCCTGTCGTGGGAGGATTTTGGCAAGACCGTGGAGAAAGACTATCAATCGGCTCCAAAGAGGTTCTGGCAAACCATCCGGCGCCTCAGGGGAGGAAGGCAGCTACTTTCTCACACTGTTTACAGTGGGAATGGGAAGCTGTTGATGTCAACTGGGGCTATAGTCGGGCGGTGGAAGGAATACTTTAAGGAGCTCTTCAACCCCACCGACACACATTCCGAGGAGGAACTAGAGCTGGGAGACCTGGGCATGGACTGTCCAATCTCTGGGGCAGAAGTTGCTGAGGTAATCCTACAACTATGCAGCGGTGGAGCCCCTGGGGTGGATGAGATCCGACCTGGGTATCTCAAGGCTTTGGATGTTGTAGGACTGTCTTCGTTGACACGTCTCTGCGACACTGTGTGGTCATCAGGGGCAGTTCCTGTGGAGTGGCAGACTGGGGTGGTGGTCCCAAATTTTTAAAAGAGGGACCAGAGGGTGTGTTCCAACTATAGGGGGATCACACTCCTCAGCTTCTCGGGAAATGTCTACTCCAGGGTACTGGAGAGGAGGGTCCAGTCGATAGTTGAACCTCAGAGGAGGAGCAATGTGGTTTTTTTCCTGGCTGTGGAACTGTGGACCAACTCTTTACCCTTGCTAGGGTGATGGGGTCATGGGAGTTTGTCCAACAAATCCACATGTGTTTTGTGGATTTAGTGAAGGCTTATGACCGTGTCCCCAGAGTCGCCCTGTGGGGGACACTCCAGGAGTATGGGCCATTCAGTCCCTGTACCAGAGGGGTGTGAGTTTGGTCCACATAGCCGGCAGTGAGTCGAATCTGTTCCTAGTGAGGGTTGGACTCCGCCAGGGCTGCCTTTTGTCACCGGTCCTGTTTATAACATTTATGGACAGGATTTCTAGGCACAGCCGTGGTGTGGAGGGTGTGGAGTTTGGTGGCAGGAGAATCTAATCTCTGCTTTATGCAGAAGTCTGGGCCTCCCTTCTTAGGCCCTGTCCACACGTAGCCGGGGATCTGCCAAAACGTAGATATTTTTCTACGTTTTGGCCTGTCATCCACACGAAAACGGAGTTTTTTCACACAAAAACGGATCTTTTTAAAAACTCCGGCCAAAGTGAAGATCTGCGTTTTCTCCGTTTTGGGTGTCTGCGTGTGGACAGACAAAACCGGAGTTTTAAGGTCCGCAACATCACTTTCCGCGACAAAAAACTGCTGACATCACGTGTGCGACCTGTGTTTACACTAGCCGACAGCATGGATGCCCTCTGAGCTGCGCTCGCTTTATCAATTGTCCAAGCGCTTTTTGCTTCCTTGTTTTTGTAAGCGGAATTACTTCTCCTTGCGGAAGACCACAGACGAAGGACGAGGTTAAGAACGGGGGAAGTACTGCCGCCTACAGGTCTGGCATGTCCTTAACAACGTATTTATCCGGGTACGTGTGGACAGTTTTTTTTAAACGAGGTGGTGTGGATGCAAGTTTTTGGAGGGGCGGATATTCGTTTAAAAAAAACCGGCTACGTGTGGACTAGGCCTTAGGCTGCTGCCCTGCGACCCGACCCTGGATAAGCGGAAGAAAATGGGTGGATGTAAATGTAACCATGTTATGTTTTTCACACACCTGTTCACAGAAAACATACAGGTGAAATAAAAATCTTCTGTTTACACATGTGCCCTTGTCAGGTGAACTCCCTGCAGGAGGAGGTGGAGCGTCTTCAGTCTGAGCTCCTCGTCATCACTCAGGAGAAAGTAAGCCATGCCCAGGAGGTGTTAGAGCTGTACAGCAAGCTCAGTGAGGCTGAAAATCAGGTGAGGTCACCTGGAGCTTTTTGAGTCAGTTTGACGGTTTTGGTCTGATGGGTTTATGTTCTGCAGGTGGTGCAGCTGGAGGCAAATTTCCAGAAGCTGCTGAAGAAGGAGGAGCTCCACCAGGAGCTGCAGGAGACCCAGGAGCAGGCCTCCATCACTCTGCAGGAGCAGATCCACAGGATGAAAGTCCAGAACCAGGAGCTCCAACATCAGGTAATACCCAGTTCATCAGGGTGGGGGAGGTTAGGGTTAGTGAGGAAGGCCTGCTGATTGGTTGATGTTTGTGTCAGGTGTCTAAACTGCAGGTCCAGGAGGTTCAAGTCCAGAAACTGACCCAGGAGCAGCAGACCCTGAAGTCTAGACTGATGGATGTTGAGGCAGCCCTAACCCAGGCCCAAGACCAGGTCAGGATCCGGGTCAGAACCATGATTGAAAGGAGATTAATTAATTAGACACAATAAACTAATTCAAATGGAGTTCTAATGCAATGGCTAGAAGAGTTAGACCTGTTCTTTATGGACGTAGGGCGAGTTTTTACATGACAGAAAAAACCAATCAGAACAGAACTTCTTCAGCGCTCAGAGCCAGACCACAGCTTTCTGTGTCTGTGTTACAAAAGCAGCAGCCAGGGGCGTGGCTATGGGTGGGCCCAGGACCACCCACTTCCAACCAGGGCCCACCCACTCAAATGGCATCCCTAAAAAATGCCATGTACATTTATTTTATTTTGGAGAGGTGTCTTTTCAGTCCTTCACACAATGAAATGAAACAGAATTAAATTTTAATTAATACTATTTCTGATATTCTTTCTATCAATATATATTTCTAGATAGATCGATCCATCTTTATCTATATAGATAAAGATCGATCTATCTATATATAGATATAGATGGTTTTACGGCCCCCAGCTCGACTAAGAGATGACGTGGTTCGGGGGCATAAAGAAATGTTTGTGAACAGGAACAAACCAAGATTCACTCTCTTAAAGGAGTTTATTTAACTAAGAAGTCACTGCTTTATGCAGATAAAGGGATAAAATCTTTCAAAAACAAGAGACGTCCAAAACTGGAGATTAACAACCATAATAAACACAAAGCGCAGGGGATTAAAACCGGGTAAAGAATGAGCTAGACTGACCAAAAACTCCACCAAAAGGGTGAGCTAGATCTCTTTAACGAGGATGCTGAAGAAACACAAAACAAGCTCTAGATGACTAGGAAGTGATTGTCAATACCACTCAGGTAAGCATAGAGAGACTTTAACATCTGGACGAGGAGGGAAAAGAGGAGAGCTAACACCTGTCTGTTCTCTTCTCAACTTTCCCCCTTCCTGTATCACCTGAAGCTCCCTTTTAACAGGAAGCCTCACTGATTGAAATCAGTTACACCTGGCTCAGCTAGAGCCAGGAAAGCAGGTAGTGACACTGAGGCCACCTAGTGGCCACAAAACAGACGGCGTCCGTTACACCTCCTCCCTCAAAACAACAACCACAAGGTCATCTTGTGGTTGTTGCTTTCGAAGTCATGAGCGCTCCCGCTAACTGAATCTAAAAGGTAACTAACTGACCCTGGTCTTCATGGAGACGGAGAGGTGGGCTGATTAAATACAAATAATCAGTGCGCCGACCCCGCAGCGCCACTGAGTGTTCCAGAGATGGAGAGGCTCCTCTCCAACACTAACCTCTATGGTCCCCAACACTATTAAAACAACCAAAGGAACAACACCCAAAGGGGTGAAGTTCATGAACCTGCCAGGGAGCCTCAATCTACATGACTTCTCGAAAAGGCGTCAGCCATCACGTTATCCGTTCCTTTCTTGTGGCGGACTTCTGGGTTGAACTCTTGGAGGAGGAGGGCCCATCTCATCAGACGCTGGTTGGAGTTGAACATGCATCCCAAGAAGGTCAGCGGGTTGTGGTCTGTAAAGACAACTGTGGTGAAATGACTGTTGACATAAACATGAAAATGTTGTAGGGACCAAATTAATGCCAAAGTTTCCTTTTCAATGGTGGAGTACGCGCGTTGTGACTGACTGAATTTCCTAGAGAAGTAACAGACAGGGTGATCAAGCCCATCGGCATCTTCTTGAAGGAGAACAGCTCCTGCTTCGGCGTCAGAGGCATCAACCTCAAGTTTAAATGGCCGGGACAGGTCAGGAGCAGCCAGGATCGGAGCACAACAAAGCAGGTTTCTAAGAGAAAGGAAAGCCTGGTGACAGTCTTGGGTCCAAGAGAAAGGAATGTTAGTACTCAACATATCTGTTAAAAGTTTCGCAACAGTCGAAAAGTTCCTACAAAAACATCGGTAATAACCACCCACGCCTAGGAACCGTCTTGGCTCCCTCCGTGTGGTAGGAGGAGGAAAAGAGATGATGGCCTGGATTTTGTCAGTTAGGGCCCTTACTTGACCTTGACCTACTTCTTTTCCTAGATACCGGACAGTTGCTTTAACAAACTCGCATTTTGTGAGGTTCAAAGTTAGATTAGCGGACTTGAGTCTATCAAACACATTTTGTAAGGTCTGAAGGTGAAGATCCCAGCGCGCCGCCAATCACCAAGATGAAGAACAGGTTCCATGTTGTGGGATTTTAATGGCTCCGATACAAACGTCCACAGTTGCTGCAGGCTGTGCGGGACTTTCCCGCATTATAAAACTAGATTTACGAGAAGCGACTATATAACGCGCAATACCCGCAATCCTGCAGTGAATTTCAGGCCCTATAGATAGATAGATAGATAGATAGATAGATAGATAGATAGATAGATAGATAGATAGATAGATAGATAGATAGATAGATAGATAGATAGATAGATAGATAGATAGATAGATAGATAGATAGATAGATAGATAGATAGATAGATAGATAGATAGATAGATAGATAGATAGATAGATAGATAGATAGATAGATAGATAGATAGATAGATAGATAGATAGATAGATAGATAGATAGATAGATAGATAGATAGATAGATAGATAGATAGATAGATAGATAGATAGATAGATAGATAGATAGATAGATAGATAGATAGATAGATAGATAGATAGATAGATAGATAGATAGATAGATAGATAGATAGATAGATAGATAGATAGATAGATAGATAGATAGATAGATAGATAGATAGATAGATAGATAGATAGATAGATAGATAGATAGATAGATAGATAGATAGATAGATAGATAGATAGATAGATAGATAGATAGATAGATAGATAGATAGATAGATAGATAGATAGATAGATAGATAGAGCGTGGTTAATCTACATACTAGGATTTGGTCTATATTTTAATCCAAAGATTAATGTTTAATTTAAGATATTTAAATTTAATAGCAAAAGTTTATTTATTGAATCAGAAGCTTAAAGGAATCTTTGCTTATTCAATAACCAAAATCTACACCATTCTGTGTTTCATTTCAATGAAGGTTTTAAAAAGTTAAGAATTTATTACTAACACTTTTAAAAATGACAATTTGAAAAAATGACAATTTGAAACAGCTTGATGTTAAACTTGTTATCAAAACAAACCTGTGACTGGATGGAAAACTAAAGTGGAATGCGAGGTTTGGATGCGTGAATGAATCTCAGAAGGTTTCTTTCAGAGAGAGAAGTACATTCTGGGTGGAAAGTTGTTTTGCAGCTAACTGATGTTTCTTAGAGAAAACAGCATCGGACACAATCTGTGTTCTACATCACCCAGTTAGACGACCCTCTGTGTAGATCCGGAGGTCAAAGGAGGATGTTGTCAGCCTCAAGGTACTCGGTCCGGTAGAGAAGACCCGAGTGGAACCGATTCTCTGGTCCAGAGTTGTCGCAGGGTACACAGTGTTGAGCTTGCGTCTGGCTTAACTCTGAAGGAGTTTTTGCGTCATCTGGTTACAGGTGCGTTTATTCGGAGCAATTATATCGGCGTGACAGAATGCTTAGTGAGGCTGGGGCGGCCGACCCTCATCCTCTGGTGGGTTCAAGAACTGATGTTCAGCTGCAGAGATTTGGTTTTAACAAAACCTCAGAACACGCCCTCTCAGCATCAGAAAGCTTGATGTTATGGAGTAAAGACATGTGAGGTGGTTAACCTTTACCCTGGATTCACCCTCTGCATGAGGTGGTTAACGTGCAAATGACCTTCTGGTTTACTGAACACACATTTCTGATTATCATAAATAATAATTATTATTATTACCCAAATCATGATAAGTCATTCCAGTAATTAAATACATTTATACTGAACCAAGATGATTATTTATAATGATTATTATATGATTGTAATAAACAGTAATAAAGTCAAAGAGTTTATTAAAATTATTATTTAAAAATTATTATTTTAAAATCTTGAAGTGTCCTTCATCTTGGGACGGAACAGCAGCAGATAAAGATGGTGTTCAGCAGACATCACGGCTCCTGGCGGGTAATCTGTGGGGCAAAGTTACAGCTCGACCCAGCTTGACCCAGCTGGGAAAATGTGACCTTTGGTTCACAAATAAGAGGCCATTCATGACGCTACAGATAGATAGATGGATAGATCGATCGATCGATCGATCGAAATATACTTGTTTTCAATTACATTTATTGGGCCCGCCCACAAATGAGTTTCTGGCTACGCCACTGCCGTGATGTTAAAGCCACGTCTGAGCAGCTCTGCAGATGCCCCTCAAGGCTTTTCACCCTGACACTATTCTACTTCCTGCTTGACTTCCTGTTTTGCCTGTGTGAGCAGGCTGTGCGAGCGGACACTGCTCTCAGTGTTGCGAAGGCCCAGCACCTGCGACAGGTGCAGCAGCTGCAGCAGCAGGCAGGCTGCGGGGAGCAGGTCGAGGTTCTTCAGGCCCAACTGGAGGCAGAGATGAAGAGGAGTCAGCAGCTGGAGGAGGTGGCAAAGCTGCAGGTCCAGCAGAGCGGCTCTCAAATCATCATGAAGCAGGTGTGTCAGAGGCAAAAGCACCTGTGTGATGCCTTCTGGTCTGAACTGATGTCCTGCCTCTGTTCAGAAGCAGTTTGACAAGGCCACGGTAGCGCTGCAGCAGCGGGTTGAGGAGCTGGAGGCCCAGCTGAAGGCACTCCGCCTGGTTCTGCAGGAGAAGATCAACCAGCTCAAAGAGCAGGTGAGCTTTATTTCTGATTCCAGGTTAGGCTCCTGCAGTTCTGTGGGTTAATCATTGATCTCGTCAGCAGCTGGTGAAGAACAACAGGACGAGTGAGATGATGAAGGATCTGTATGTGGAGAACTCCCAATTGATGAAGGCCCTGCAGGTCACTGAGCTGCGCCAGAAAGAGGCAGAGAAGAAGAACCTACTGTTTGAGGAGAAGGTTCGAGTGCTCAACCAGCTTCTACGTGAGGCCGTTGCCACAGTGCTCGCTACCTGACCTCTCCGCACCTGGTCTGGGCCAGTCCGCAGTGAGAAGCTGTAGAGATCCCATCACTGATCCCTCTGACTTCCTGTCGGAATCCAGTTTCCATCCTTTAACCGTGATGATGTCACAAACCTCCTTAATAAACGAGCTGAATCATCAGACCAGCAGCTTTCTGACTCTGCCTCCACTAACCAAGTCACCTGGCGGTATCTTGTTGTGATGCCAAACTGATGGAGAAAGTATTTGAGTTACAGCTTGTGGCTGTGGCCTCCTCACCTGTACAGGTGTTTGTCTCAGAAGGATTCCAGTATTATGTCACTGGATTGCAGTGTAGGAGAGTAACATTCATATGTATTTGGGTACTTTTAAAGCTTGATATACTACCCTACACTTTTACCAATATGAGGTGAATTTCCATATGAATATGGAAATCCAGTCTGATTGGTGTTTTAATGTTCAACCAGAAGATTTAGAATTCTTTGTTTATTCAGGGATTGTCAGACACTTCGTTTTAATTCAAGAAGAGAGTCAAGTTTATAAAGAGTAAGAAATTTATTTTCTAAAGAATTAAAAACCTGACACTAGGACACTTAATGTGATGAATGTGAGGTGTGAATGTGATGTTATCAGAACCTTCGTATCTGGAGAAACTTTTGAGTTCTGAGTGGGAGTGAATTTGGTCTGCTATAAACTATAGTGATGGTTTCTAAAACCACATCAGACGCAATCTGAGACTACGTACCCTTCGTCAGAGACCCCGTGGTAGATCCAGGCTGTCAGGTAGTCGGATGGACCCCAAAGGTACCGAAGTCCGTAGGAGAAACCGCAGTACGACCTGACCGGTCTCGAGATGTCTCCAGGTCACCACAGTTTGCATCTTAGGAATAACTCTTAAGGAGCTGAAGTTGGTTCAGCTTTATTCTGAAGGAACCATTTGCGGTCAGCTGTAGCATGCAATAGGTTTTGACAGCTTGTCAAAGATGCGATGGGAGCAGTTTCCCTTCGATGGCCAGTCAGAGTTAGGCTCAACTGAGTCACTCAGGGAGTGATGCTGTTTTAAATAATGGCCATATCTTGGTTTATTGATAAATCAGAACTTGCCTGTAAAGGGATGTTGCCAACAAACTCAGACACACACCTCCCTCAGATATGAAGATGCTGATTTTGTGGATAAAATATCTATGTGCAGTGACGTTGATTATAACTTGCATCATTGAGATATGGAGTGTCTTGTTCAGTGTGCTGATTAATGAAACATTACTGATCATGACATCAAAATGTGTCATATTAAAATGACAATGTGTCATTGAATTAGGCACCGAATATTCAAACATCAACATTATTATACATATAACATTTGTTCATTCAACCATATTATTTTTTAACTTACGAGTTGTAAAAGTTATTTCATGAGAGTGAGCAATCCTGCGGTCTTATCAAAAGAAGGCTTTGTTTGGGAACATAGGCTGGCATCTTGTTCCCCCTGAATGTCAACAAGGGCTGCAGAATCTTCTGGGCTTTAGAAGGCAGGATAGAAACTCCACTCAGATAGTGGAATTAGGTCTGTAGGTGACCGGACATTGTGTCGGTCAACATGTAGGTGAAAACTGACCATTTCTGGACGTTACAGCAGGCAGCATCAGTGTGTTTGCTGCTCTATTTCTCACCTGTTCAGGTGCAGCACACCAAAACTCACCTATGGACCAAAGTGTGACTCATTATGTTTTTATCAGCTGCTTGTCATCTTTCTATGGCACCTGACACACGTGAGTTTCTTCACTTCCAGGACCACAGAGACACAACAGAGGCCACAGGATGGGTACAACACTTTTATTTGTTGTGACCACACACACACACACACACACAATCTTCTCTCGTCACGACACCACGTGCTCCAAGACGCCCTGGCGAATCAGCTGCTCGCATTTCCACCGAGGCAGGAAGTGCTGAGAACACAAACACAACTTCCTGTGAGCTAATGCGTTCTAAGGCTTCACGTCACACGCACACACGCACACACACACACGGGCCACAGGATTCATCTCCTGGGAATAATGTGAGTGTGGGTCCATCCCAGATACACAGCTGCTTCCTCCACATGTCAACACACACCTGTATGCTCCAGAGAGCTCCTGCTGCTGGTGATCAGGTAATCAATACACCTGATCCTGAGCTTCCTGTTGAGGCTGTGAGGACGGTCTGGTTCTGATGTCATGCTGTCGGCCCAATCGTGTGTGTATGTGTGTGAGTGTTCATCCAAACTGCACCCTATTCTGACCTGGCTGTTCTTCTTCAGCAAGATCACCGTTCCATCCTCGATCTCAAACTCTCCATGGTCCTTAAGACACCTCACCTGGAAACAAACATGACATCAGCATGATGAGGACAGACCGTAGGTCAGAGGTCAGGCAGGTGTGACTCACCTGAATGTAGAGACTCTTTGGAGGCTTGATGTCCTGTGTGATGTCAAGCCCCTCCCCCTCACCAAGGGAACGCATGAAGGAAGCAAGAGACTTTTTATACTGACCAAACCACTGCACCTGAAAGCAACACACACACACACACTGAGCTGTTCTAATACAACACTGACAATTTCAAAATAAAAGTTTCAAGGAATTGAAAAGTTTGCTTTCTATGTGAAGCAGCAACAGGAAGTCTAAAACAGGAGGTGATGTCACACCGACCTCCTCTGCAGACATGTGGAAGCGAACGTTGGCGGGCAGAACGCTGCCGTACTCCCATCTCAGCGCTCTGATCCTCAGCAGGCGGTCGTACCTGTAAACAACGAACGGTAAACAAACCGTAGTGACTGCAGGTGAGGCTGGTCACATGACTGTGGGCGGAGTTACAGGTAGGCAGTGATGCAGCGCTGGTTCCTCAGCAGGCAGCAGTGACGCAGTTTGATGGAGGGGATGAGGTCTGAGCGCCCGAAGGACTTGGCCTCGTTCCTGAAACAGAAGGTCAGCTGACTTACTGTAAGGTCACATACGGGTCATCTGGACTCAGGCCAGTCCAGAACCAGTATCTGACCTCTGGACCCCTCATCCTTCATGCATGAAAAGGCTCTTGAACCAGTTTGACCTTTTCTCTACAGGTGATGTGGGGTCAGAGGTCAGGTCAAACAGGAGAGGCCTCAGTATATGAGGAGGGTTTCTGTAGATAAACAAAACCAGAACCCGAACTCTGTGGTTGAAGCCGCATCTTTTTGATCTTTTACAGTTTAGTAGCGTTCAGATGTCGGTCCACCGAACCCTAGAACCAGAAGCAGCCTGAACTCACACGTCAGCTTGGTTCTGTTCGTACAGAGCCTCCATCTCCTGTAGAACCTGGCGCAGCCCGTCCTCCTGAAACAGAGCCAGCATGTGGGTTCTGGTTTAAGGAACAGTAGAACAGCATGCTACCGGGTTAAATCAGAGCCGAACTGTAGCCGGTGTTCCGTTTAAGCTATCCTTTGGTCTACTGGTTCTTAAGACTTCTGCTTCTGTTGGCAACATCTGAACAACCTTAAACCAGCTTGGCTGTACACGGAGTCAGCTGCTGCGACCGTTACCCGCGTTCCTCACGTTGAAAGCGGGCAGCTGTCCGTCGCTCATCCGGTGCAGCTCCCGGATCATCTCCATGGCCTTCTCGCAGAACATCCCGAACTCTCGATCAGAAAACTTATCCGTTTCTCCTCCGTGAAGACCGAACGGTGTTGGCGGGAAAAGCTTTGTTGATCACGTGACCCGGTGACGTAGATCCGTTGTCGGTACCAGATCGGCTCCGGCATAGATATGTATGTATAAACACTAGATGCCTCGTCCCCACTGTTCGTCAATGGGATGCGACGTAGGAACGTGGCGGCCATCTTACCTCAGACCGCTGCCCCCCTTTCTCAAGCAACTCTAACTTGCTCAATTTTCAACCGATTTTCAAAAGGCTTAATTTGTTATAAACGCCAAAGATGTGTCTATGAAATAAGATGGGTTTGGCCGAGAAATTCCTGTTATATGGGTTTGGCCGAGAAATTCCTGTTATTTCACTCCACAAAGCATTTAATCTTTCATTAACACATTTAATTGTAAGCTACAGTAATTTAAAGTATACATAGCCATATATATATATATAAACGTCAGTTGGTGTGACATCAGTTCCTGTTTTAGACTTCCTGCTGCTGTTTCACATAAAAAGCAAACAAAACCGTCAGCAAGGTAAAGAAAAACCTTATCTGTGTTTAAAAAATGGAATTAATTAACAAACACAGCAAGAAGGTACAAAAGATGGTTAAATTAAATGTTTTGATTAATCTGTGCCTAACTTAAAAAGGTTTAAATGAATTTTAATGCTACAATGAAACATTTTGATGTTATGATCAGTAATGTTTGGTTTAACAAGTGAATCATTATCTACACTCATACACAATGTTCATAAGATAAGCTTAAAGTAATTTATGCACATAGATATTTTCTTACCCACAAATCAGAGCATCTTGTATCTGAAAGAAGGCGTGATGTTCTGAGTTTTGTTTGTTAACACCTCTTAACATGGCACGTTCCGATTGGCCAAGTAAATCATAATATGAGAATATTAAAACAGAATCACTTACGGAGTCATTCGAGCATTCTGTGAGATTCAGCATTCTGTTAGTTTGAGCGGAACTCTGGACTGGCCACCGGAGGACACTCTATAACCACCGCATTGACAAGCTAAAAGCTGCCTACAGCTGACACAGCAAAACGGTTCCTTCAGCTATTCAGAAACAGCTGCTCTAGACACAAACTAGTTCCAACCTGTGTGCCTGGCGACATCTCTGGACTGGAGTGTCTGTGTTGCGGTTAATCTACTGAACCTCGGTGCCCAGAGGTCATCTGACCTCCGGATCTGCGAAGAGGGTCTCCAAAGAAAGGGTGAGGTAGACACAGCATGATTGTGTCTGATGCCGTTTTGATAAGAACCAACTTCATAGTTTAATGGTAATGCAAACCAAATTCTTTTCACACCCAGAACTTAGTTCTGCTAGATACAAGGTTGTGATAAACACACCATTCAATCACCATACATCACATACATCACATCCCATCTACTTAGATTCATCCATCACAGTAGTCTTAGTTAACTTGTCATGTTTTTAATTGTTTAGAAAAAAGGCTTACGTCTCGGCCCGGTCGCTCCGGTCATCACAGGATCGTCGGCTAGCAGTGCCTACACCACGCTCAGGACAATCCAGACTCTTCTCATGCATCGTTCCACAAATGTGGAATCACCTTCCAAGCACTACCAGAACAGCGGCTTCCTTTTCAATTTTCAAGAAACTCCTGAAGGCTCTGCTCTTCTGAGAGCATCTTCTTAGCTAGCACCTTCCCTGCACCCATCCCCCCTCTCTACTGTTCACTCCTTTGTTCCCTCCTCTCCATGATTGATGTCAAGTTGTTGTTGTTATTGTTGTTGTTAGCCTCAAGGGCAACATGCCGATTATCACTTGTAAGTCGCTTTGGACAAAAGCGTCTGCTAAATATATAAACAAACATAAACATGTGCACATATAGACATGACTGTAATAATAAGATATATATTGTACACATGTGCATATATAGACAAGACTGTAATAATAATATATATATTGTAGACATGTGCATATATAGATATAGCTATAATAATAAGATTGTCATGGTCTGCGTCCTGCATCTCTCTCATGTGTCTCCTTGTGTTCCCCAGGCCACTCCAGGTTTTTCCCCCTTAGGTGTTTCCCCCAGGTTTCAGTCCCCAACCCCCTCCAGCCCTTTTCAGACAGACATTCTGGAACATTTGCGGACAATTCAATCCGGTTTTTAACCGGAACTGAGTTTTCAGACACACCACTTTTGTACCGGAACTTGTCCTTTCGGCTGCGTTCACACAGCAGGGAAAAGTTCCAGATGTCTGACGGCGGCGGGAGGTGGGGGGGGATCGGACTTATGTTAAGAAGAAGAAGAAAATATCATTTCTATAGCGCCTCTCAAGATAAAAATCACGAGGCTCTTAAGCATAATTCTGCGCACACGAAGACGCATAAGAGACCTGGATGATGAAGCTCAATGGTTAAAGGAATCACTGAAGTGGTGTGAAGCGCTCCGTCGCGCGTCTAGACGGTAACGTAGGAGGCGAGCTGCCGTGGTTCGCCGCATGCTACAGCAGCGGGCTATATAGGTGCGCACAGCGTCCCCCGGTCCCCTCCTCCTCCCCCTCCCTCTTGTCCGGAACTTTACCTCACCAGTCTGAAGCAGCCACCCTGTCCGTAACAAGTCCGGACCTGTTACTAGGGGCTTCGTCCGGATAAATTCTGGAACACGTTATCCGGATGTTTGTATTCAGACAGAAAGGTCTTACGGACAGATTCCGGAACATTTCATGGCCTGTCTGAAGGGGGCTTTAAGTTTCACTTACATTTTTCCTTAGACACCTTTTATCATTAGTCTTCTGTTAAGTGTTTTATCTAGTGTAACGTAATGAAATGACTGTTTTCCACCTAAACGTCATTTTCCCCCTCTCCTCTGACACAGAACTAATCTGCATGAGATATTGCCTCAAGGTCTCAAGCATTTGCTCTAAATTGTTCCTTTCCAGCTCAAGAGAAGAATGAAAAAAAGGACTCTCTCTTTTAAAAAAATCAAAGAATCTATTTTTGATAAGCTAATCAAAGTGTTAGTCAATAATAAGATGTGACCAATCTGTGAAATGAAAATGTTACTTTATTATAATCCTATAGAGTATAATAAGTAATATGACTTTAAATGAGACTGAGACTGATCTCACGTAGCGTTAAGACATGACACACTGCTTTTACTGATCCAATCAGAATCTGCCAGATCTGACAGAGGCACTTGGTGGTGCTTGGTAAATCTGTCATCTTTTCATTTGACCATAAACCAAAATATCCGAAGTATAAAACTATGCCCACGTCATCTTTAACGCCAGTTCAAAGCGTTAGAGAGAAGTTGATGGAGTGGCCAATCCGTAACTCGCCCCTTCAGCCAAAAGAACCAACGACAAGCTGGAAAACCTGTTGCCGTTCCACCTGCTGCAACGGTTCCTTTCAGAATAAAAGCTGAACCATCACGACCCCGTTTTGGGTCTTGTTAGATGCCGATAAACCGTCGTGACCCGGAAGTATCTCAAGACCAGACTGGTCAGCTGCCGCGGCTGTTCTGCAGGCTTCGGCTCCACAAAGGTCAAGCTGGACCTCTACACCTCCTGATCTAGACGGGGACTTCCGCCAAGGGTACGTAGACCGACAGAATGGCGTTGAATGTGTTTATGAATCTCCTAACCAAAGCTTAGCACGAAGACATCACCTTCACTCCGAGCAGAACTAATTGTTTCTTCGGATTTGCTGGTTCTGAACAACATTCCATACTACACCATTCTCCATCTCATTTCACCTTAGTTACACCATACATTTAGCGTTAAAGTTAGTCTAGTTTTAATTTGTTTAGTAATAAATCTTTAAACTTTTAAAACTTGACTCTCTCTTCTGTTGTCTTTGAGTTAATATGAAGTGGTTGCATAATCCCTGCAATAACAAGTTCCAATCTTCTGGTTAAAAAGTACCCACAGATCCATAAGGTTGATTCCATATTTCCTACGGAATCTCATGTCTCATGGTTCATTAAATCACATGTAAATTAACCCATTACACAAGTTTGTTTTCTCCCTCTAGTTAATTTTGCTCCCTTCCCCATTTTTAGGTCTGGTTTCCTCCCCTGCTCTGTTGTGCTCCTCCTCTGTTTATTGGTCTCACCTGTGCACAATTCCCTAATCACCCAGCCCTTATGTATATAACCCTGTCTGCGTCTGAATGTGGTTGTTGGTTCATTGTTTGTGTCCGCGTTGTCTTGCCCCTCTCTAGGTATTTGGAATTCTTCTAGGTCTCTTGTGTTTTTGGATATTCGCAGGGTTTTGATTCTTGGATTTTTGGATTTTTGGTTTTTGGCTTCCAGCCCTTTGGATTTACCCTTAAATAAAGGATTTTTACGTTTTCACTACTCCTGTCTTGTGTCATCCTGGGTCTGCATCTTGGGTCCTAACCTCCCCCAACTCACAGTGTGTCAAAGATAAATATTGTAGCCATGCATATATAAACATGACTGTAACAAGATATTGTATATTGTAGACATGTGCATATATAGATATGACTGTAATAATATTGTATATTGTAGACATGTGCATATATAGATATGACTGCAATAATATGAATATTGTAGACATGCCTATATAGATATGACTGTATTTATATATATATATATATATATATATATATATATATATATATATATATTGTAGACATATGCATATATAGATATAACTGTAATAATAAATATATTGTAGACATGCATATATAGACATGACTGTATTAATAACAGGCACATGCAGAGGGGGGGGGGGGGGGGCGGAGGGTGCTTGAGACCCTGCCCCTTTTCTCCCATGTGCCCAAAGTGCCCTTTTTGAGGTTTAATGGTTTTTTTATATATATTTATTTATTTTGTTTTATTTTTTTAAGAATTTTCTGTTCGTGCCCCCTCAAGAATAACAAAAATAATAATTAATAAAATTTCTGTTTAATAATGTTATATGGCTGGCGTGAGTCACGTGACCATACCGTCACGTGACCATTCCGTCTCTTCCTCACGCCAGAGCGCACAGCCGGTCACAACAAGCTGCAAGCAAGCACCCACATTTTCTTCATGGCCGAGCGAGTGGTGCAGAGCTTTTAGGACATACATATTGATTGGGAGAAACGGACTAACACTGGTAAGTAGGATGCACACTACTATACACAGTTATTAGATTATTTTGTACATTATTAAGTTGTTTTGTGGCACTAGGTGTGTGATATATTACTAGCTGGGTGTGTGTCTGTGGCTGGGTACCGATTCTGAACCTCAGTAACTTTAGGATTAACCAAAAACATTCTGTACATAAGTACTTGTACGAAAATATTTTTTCAATCTTAAATATTGGGAATTTGACAATAAAATGTCATTGTTGTTAACTAGGTACCGCAAAGTTGCATTCCTATCGCTGCTGCGTGTCACGTGACTGGGGTCTCACACAGCCCTGCTTCTTGTTTACAAAATCATTTCCTGGTTCGCGGACTAATAAAACTTGAACAAATTTAAAATTTAGCTACCTTTTGTGAAAGGAAATAAGAAAAATACTAAAGGTAACATCCGTCACAAGTTTTGTGTTACTAAATATTCAGTCCTTGTCTGTTAATTCTGTCCAGCGTTTTAGGGAACATAGTTTTGTTTTAGATTTTAAGGTTTCTCAGCCCTTCTGGTGGGTTTTATAGTTCACTAATACTATGCATATTCTCAAAATTTGGAGTTTATATTCGCTCTCTTTTTGAATGCATTGTATTAAAAACATTATGTTTTAAAGATGTACATTTAAAAAAAAACTACTGTTTTCACAGCAAAATTATTTTATCTGTACAGTTCTCTGTTTTGCACAAAGTAGATAGTAAAACTGAATGAAAGCATAAACATTGTTTTATTCTTTATTTTTATTATAATTACTAAAGCACTATGATTAAAATATTATGGAAATATTCTGGATCAGCATCATGAAGCTAATTTGTGGCCAAATTATATACGGTTAGTTTTCTGGAAAAGGAATGAAATGTCCCAGAATGTGTATGCATGAGTTTTATATGCATGAAAACATATTTGTAAATTAATTATGATATATCATTGTACAGACATGCTTCGTAAGGACAGGAGGCGGAAGCAGCGACAGAAAGAGCTATGTGAGGCAGCTAAAGGCAGTGGGTCCCTCACCAGCTGGATAAAAGAGTGCAGGTAAGTTGCATCACAGCAACAAGTGTAGAAACAATAATATACACAACTGCAATGTTTTGATGCCAGAAAATGTTTTTTGTTAGCCTCTTGATCATGGATTAGGTGCAAGACCTGTTAAATGTGAATAACTACATAATTCATTCATACAATAGCTAATTTTGCCTTGTCCTCAGATGGACAGCAAGTGGAGAGTGATAGATCACATGAGGAGATTGAAGACACACACAACTCTTTCTGTTTATATTTCTGTCACATTCTTATCTCTGACATAAACTCCTCTATTATCCACTAATGTTTAGATTTCCATTTATTCACCACAGGTGTTGTCTCAGATATTTCTGTCTTACAGTTCTAAGAGTTTTCACCAATTTTTTGCCATTTTTTTATTATCTTACATTAATTTTGTAATTGACTAACATTTCTCCTCTGTTCGTTTTACTACCTACAGTCTGAGATCAACACAGCCTTGCCCTCCAGCATCATCAGCAGCAGCAAGAGGAGCAACCCTGCAACAGCTACATTGTGCCCCATCATCAGGTAAAATAGGACAGCAATAGATCAGGAGGTGGAGCAGGTTGTCCAGTAATCGGAACGTTGCAGGTTTGATCCTGACTTCAATCAGAGATTGATGCTGTTGAGTCCTTGGGCAAGACACTTAACCTGCTTAGCCTGCTGGTGGTGGTCGGAGGGACTAGTGGCGCCTGTGCTCAGCAGCTTCACCTCTGTCAGTGCGCTCCAGAGCAGCTATGGCTACATCATAGCTCATCACCATCAGTGTGTTAATGTGTGTGTGTGAATGACTGATTGTGTTGTAATGTGCCTTGGGGGGTTGTAGAACCCTAAGAAGGCATTATACAAATACAGACCATTTACCTAAACAAGTTACTTTTGCTTTACATTGTCCTTATGGTGTATATAATGATTCGCTTCCATTTTGAATTTCTAATAAATATGAATTGTTATTCAGCCGGGTATACTGTGGTTATGTCATGGTGTTTGAAAATATTATTCTGTGTGCCCCTTTTTAAATTTGAGCACCCGCCCCTTCAAAGGTCTCTGCACAGCCCTGATTAATAAGATATATATTGTAGACATGTGCATATGTACACATGACTGTAATAAGATATATATTGTAGACATGCATATATAGACATGACTGTAATAAGATATCGTATATTGTAAACATGTGCATATATAGATATAACTGTAATAATAAATATATTGTAGACATGCATATATAGACATGACTGTATTAATAAGATATATATTGTAGACATGTGCATATATACACATGACTGTAATAAGATATATATTGCAGACATGCATATATAGACATGACTGTAATAATAAGATATATATTGTAGACATGCATATATAGACATGACTGTAATAAGATATATATTGTAGACATGTGCATATATACACATGACTGTAATAAGATATATATTGTAGACATGCATATATAGACATGACTGTAATAAGATATATATTGTAGACATGTGCATATATACACATGACTGTAATAAGATATATATTGCAGACATGCATATATAGACATGACTGTAATAATAAGATATATATTGTAGACATGCATATATAGACATGACTGTAATAATAAGATATATATTGTAGACATGCATATATAGACATGACTGTAATAATAAGATATATATTGTAGACATGCATATATAGATATAACTGTAATAATAAATATATTGTAGACATGCATATATGATATGACTGTATTAATAAGATATATATTGTAGACATGTGCATATATACACATGACTGTAATAATAAGATATATATTGTAGACATGCATATATAGACATGACTGTAATAATAAGATATATATTATAGACATGCATATATAGACATGACTGTAATAATAAGATATATATTGTAGACATGCATATATAGATATAACTGTAATAATAAATATATTGTAGACATGCATATATGATATGACTGTATTAATAAGATATATATTGTAGACATGTGCATATATACACATGACTGTAATAAGATATATATTGCAGACATGCATATATAGACATGACTGTAATAATAAGATATATATTGTAGACATGCATATATAGACATGACTGTAATAATAAGATATATATTGTAGACATGCATATATAGATATAACTGTAATAATAAATATATTGTAGACATGCATATATGATATGACTGTATTAATAAGATATATATTGTAGACATGTGCATATATACACATGACTGTAATAAGATATATATTGCAGACATGCATATATAGACATGACTGTAATAATAAGATATATATTGTAGACATGCATATATAGACGTGACTGTAATAAGATATATATTGTAGACATGTGCATATATACACATGACTGTAATAAGATATATATTGTAGACATGCATATATAGACATGACTGTAATAAGATATCGTATATTGTAAACATGTGCATATATAGATATAACTGTAATAATAAATATATTGTAGACATGCATATATGATATGACTGTATTAATAAGATATATATTGTAGACATGTGCATATATACACATGACTGTAATAAGATATATATTGCAGACATGCATATATAGACATGACTGTAATAATAAGATATATATTGTAGACATGCATATATAGACATGACTGTAATAAGATATCGTATATTGTAAACATGTGCATATATAGATATAACTGTAATAATAAATATATTGTAGACATGCATATATGATATGACTGTATTAATAAGATATATATTGTAGACATGTGCATATATACACATGACTGTAATAAGATATATATTGCAGACATGCATATATAGACATGACTGTAATAATAAGATATATATTGTAGACATGCATATATAGACATGACTGTAATAAGATATATATTGTAGACATGTGCATATATAGACATGACTGTAATAAGATATATATTGTAGACATGCATATATAGACATGACTGTAATAATAAGATAAATATTGTAGACATGCATATATAGACATGACTGTAATAATAAGATAAATATTGTAGACATGCCTATATAGATATGACTGTAATAATATATATTGTAGACGTACATATATTGATATGACTGTTATAATAAGATATATATTGTAGACATGTGCATATATAGACAAGACCGTAATAAGATATATATTGTAGACATGCATATACAGACATCACTGTAATAATAAGATATATTGTAGACATGCATGTATAGACATCACTGTAATAACAAGATATATATTGTAGACATGTGCATATATAGTCATGACTGTAATAATCATAGATATCATATATAATATTAGCTAGATCCCCTAACTGGGAGTCAACAGCGTCCTTAGATGGCAGCCATCTTACTTCAGACAGCTAATCGTTCCCTAGCTGAGGGTGCACGCACGGCTCAAATAAAAATACTTATAACACGGTGAAATATTAACGGATTTACAAATGGTTTGCCTTATTACAAACTGTCTGATACATAATCTTGACGTGGTATACTTACACAGGTTGAAATTACTGCTATTACTTTTGAAACACAACACAATTGTGAACAATGTGTTACGGCTAAGCTTTTTTGAGCGTTAGGTTGAGAGAGAGAACACAATCAATATTTTTATAGGGTTCGTATGGTTCAACGAAACTAAGAAGTGTACGTAAACCTAATGTTTGTCTATCTTGGTGGATGTTTTAGTGTTTATTAGCTGTCTAACTTGGCTTAGAGAGGACGAGGCTGCCGTGGCTGCGCCGCTTAGTTACAATGTTTTACCTCAGTGGAAGCCGAGGGTAAAAT